CAGGCGCGCTACGACCCCACCTGGGAGTCCCTGGACGCCCGCGCCGTGCCCGCCTGGTTTGACGAGCTCAAGTTCGGCGTCTTCATCCATTGGGGCGTCTTCTCGGTGCCCAGCTTCGGCAGCGAGTGGTTCTGGTGAGGCCTCCATGCCGGGGGCTGCCCCCCCCTGCCCCTTTCCCCTTCCTCTTCCACCCTCGCTGTCCCCCTTCCCCTTGGCCCCAGGCAGCTGCACCCGGCAGGAAACAACCTTTCCTTCTTCTCTTCCAGCTCCACCACCCACCTCAGGGCACCTCATCAGGTCCCCCTCGCCTTTCTCACCCTGCGGGCTCACAAGAATCTATGAAAGGGTGGCCGTCGTAGAGGACAGTCCAGTTGTCCTCTGTTGATACGAAACTTGACCCCTTGATGTCCTCTGTTTTTCTTTTTAAGAAATAAAGGCATCAGGGCTTGTATCAATAGAGGACAGAGTCGTAGAAAACCGGAACGTCCTCTGTGATGGCCACCCTCACCACCTATGGGGATCTCATCAGGTCCCCTAGCGTTTCTCAACCTGTGGGGTGTCAGGAATATATGAAAGGGTGGTGAATAGGGTGGCCGTTGTCGAGGACAGCCCAGTTGTCCTCTATTGATACAAAACCGGACGCCTTTATGTCCTGTTTTTCTCATCAAGAAATAAGAAATAAAGGCATGGGGTTTTGTATTAATAGAGGACAGAGCAGCAGAAAACCAGAATGTCCTCTGTGATGGCCACCCTAGCGTTTCTTAACCCATGGGGTTGCAAAAATATACGACAGGGTGGTGAACAAGATTGGAAAACAGATCGAGGCAGGCAAGGTTCTGCCTATGTCCTTAGACCAACAGGGCTGCAACCAAAAACCCTGCAAAAATGGATCAACACACTGGATTCTTCTTTAAAGGAGGAAAATGTGGGAAACTGTGGCTTTCCCCTGCAGGCTGGTAGAGTTTCAGCCTGCAAGGGGCTGCTTGGGGGGGGGCCCCCATGCCCCGCACACTGGGGGCCTGGGGGTAGTGGGTTGGGAGCGAGGGGCACTGGGTCTGGACTGGCCTTTGATGTCCTGGCCTCTGATGGCCAGGACAAATGGGTCCTGGTACAGTGGTCCTCCAGTACAAAAAAAGGTTGAGAACTACTGACCCCTGCTCAAGGCAGGATCATCTCTGACTGCACATCTGTTTGACCTGTTTGTGGATGTTTCCAAGGACACAGATTCCACATTCTTCTCCCCATTCTGACGCCTGCCCACCCTCATAATCAGAAAGTTCCTCCTCATCTCCAGTCTAGACTTCCCCAGCTGCAGTTTGTCTCTGGGAAGCCACATCTGACTCCCCGGGGCAATCTGGAGGCTCCCTGCTTTGGAGAGGGTTTGAAACCCAATCTAGATGGGAAGGGATCTAGAACTTGGAAAAGGGTGGTGCCTGCGGTGAGGTGCCTCAACCCATATGAGACAACACCTGTTTTTCTCCAGATAAACTCAAAACTTGCCTCCTACACTGGGGGCCAAGGGCTGGGCTATTTGGTTTAAGGGTGAAGCAAAAGGAAATGAAGCTGTACTGGAATGAGTAAAAAACAATCTGCAGGTCTGTAAAATAGGAACTTTACCAAACAGCAGTGAAGGCTGGCTTGAATGTGGTGGCATGTTGAGACCATTAAAAAAAAAAAAAGAGAGGGTTGTTAACATCTGTGGAATTAGAGTGTAGGAGGAATCAGATAGATGGCAGTGAGCCATGAAGTGACTCCCTAAGCACTACCTGACTAGAAATGTTGCTGTCACTGCCAGGCAGGTGGCTTAAATTTTGGGTGGAGCAGGAATCAAAAGGGGGTCACCCCGCTAGATCCAACCCTGTAAATGTTTTAGTGATATAAATGAGGGGAAGTGTAAGCTTCCTACCAGAGTCCCCTTGAACTCAAGGGGATGCCTGTCCCCACTTAAGTGCCTTTTCCACATGCCAATTTCTTTCAGCTTCTCTTATGGCCTGCCTTTCAAGCCCTTTTTAAGAGGTAGAGACAAATATTCAAGATGCTCCCGTATCTCTAATGGACTGACCCTACACAACAAATCAGAGCAACTCCAAGACTATGCTTTCATATACTTGCTTTACATAACCCAAGACTTTGGCTTGAGCCCATGTTTAGCCAATTCATAAAAATAGAGGCTTTTGTTTGGTGGCAGGTGTGGTTTTCAAAATTGCACTTTCCACAGCAAGAAAACCCTGCTTCTCAGTCTGCAAAGACGTACGTGTGAATTAAGTTACAGGCGTGTGTGAGTGTTCACAGGATTAAGCCTGTTGTCTGGTGCACCAGTTTGCTATTTCCGTACCACACCAGCCACAAATTTCTGTGTGACCCTGAGCAAATCACGGAACTGTTCTGGCATTTATACAACAGAGGCAATGACACTTCTCCCACGGGGTTATAACCTAGTTTCAGTCAAAGTCAGAAGAACATATATTCAGAACTTGATCTTTCTCAAGGCAGAATTTGACCTACGTGTATTAGACGTACAGGGAAAGCTTTTAAGAGTCCTTTGATGTGGGCTCCACTTTACTCACAATGTTAATTTTGGACAAAGAACAGAGGTGATGCCTGGACTTTCTTTGCAGGGTACAACTGAATAGACCGTTCTTTGCTTAGTAAAGTTTAAAATAGTCTTCACTGAGATGCTGCTTCTAGTTTTGGGTATGTTAAGACTGCATTTAATTCCTAAAATGGTCGTGTCTGACATTGAACAAAAAGGGTCTCTGCAATTATATATATGCCAAAGGTAGAAGAGTTTTGATCATGATACAGATCCTTCCAGAAGACAGCTTATGGTAGAATCATCATTGCTAAAATCCTTCGTAAGTGTATTAACCATGCATGTTTAACAACCAACAAAAGTACTCCACTATTGGGAAATAAAGACTTCCAAAGTGTTTGTAGGCATTTTGTGCCAGCTGTTCCCAAACATAAGACACTGAAGGGATGAGCCATTGGTTTTAAGTGGACTGCAGTTGCATAAAGTTAGTACAGAGTACAGCCCATTAATTGTAGTCTTATTAGACACCTCTCCCCTGATAAAAGACTTTCTTGTGTAGGGCTTGGTTTCTGTCATGCATGGACATAGAAAATAGTACAAGATTAAAATAAACTCATTTTAACACAGTATATGGCGTTGCCCCTTATATTGTATTTGAACTGTTGCCTGTCCGGTTTTTATATAGGTGTAAATGTTGACTTCAAGTAGCATTTGTGACAGATGTTGGTGTGGCTCTCGGTTCTTGACCTTCTGTTTGCTCGTACCAGCTCTTGTTTCTGGACTGAATCAGTTCTAACTTCCTCAGATCCATCTCTATCTTTCTTTTCTCCATGGTACTCAGCACTTTTAATGTTGTTCTGGAAATGTGCATGGCAAAAGGGAAGAGGAAAGAGGAAGGTGTCTGCTTTTGAATTTGAAATACTTCATGATTGCAAATATTTCCCCCACTTCCTTTTCAGAAGATGATTTTTGGGGAGTGTGGGGGTAGGGAGGGGAACAGTTCTTTTCTTATTGACTTTTACTCGCACAGGGTCAAATTTCTACATGTGTATAAGCACAAATTCTGTTCTCAGTTGTATCTTTGTGGGGTGACTTCACTGGTATCACTCCAGATTCTGAAGCTGGCCTGGGAATTTAAACTTTTTTTTTTTTTAATTGAAAAATCCTTTTCTTCCTCATTTTGTGTCTGAATCCACACAAGTCTAAGCCTACCAGCTTAATCTCAATTTGCAGAAGCCTAAGCCACTCCATATTCTTAACCATTCAAGTACTTACTGTTAGCTGTAGCATTTACTTCTGTGAGCAGATCCCTGCTATTTTTTCTGAGATGGTAAGCAATAGATCTGTTTATGGAGTTGGTAGAGCTGGGGATATAATCAGGCTGGAAAATGGATAGGTGTTGGAGCAGTTGTGCTGTGGAGTTGCAGGTGGTGCAGTAACATGGATATCATCCATAGCAGCTGCCACAAACTGGGGGGCTCTTAAAGAGGCGGAGGCAAAAAGGCATATTGGGCATTCAGCTCTTCTTGGACAGGTGGTGCAGGAAAAGAGCACTAAACCACGTGGGCTCAGAAAAAGGATGGTCCTAAAGCATTGGCACTCCAGGTAGTAAGTGGCCTGTGTGGCTTATACCTCCTACCACCTTTATATGATCAGTAGTGAGTTTTCAGGACTTGGGTCCTATATAATATTCTCTGCATGTTCCCCAGTCCTATCAACACAGCTAAGAATGAAATACTGGGAAATCTGTATAAAGAGAAAAGTAGAGCTGGGTGTCTCTACTTGGCAAAACTGTTACAGTCTGAAGGAGTTTTATTTCATTTCCAGTGTCCTTCTACCACAGCTTTATCTCAGTGGGTACTGCTGGTTAGAATATTAAAACAGAATTTGATTATTGAATTCTCTAGTGCTGAAAAATATTGTTGGCTGATTTTATTGTGTATTTTGTAGGTGGTATTGGCAGAAAGAAAGGAGAAAGTCCTATGTAAAATTTATGGAGGATAATTACCCTCCTGGGTTCAGGTATGAAGATTTTGGCCCGTTGTTCACAGCAGAGTTCTTTGATCCCAACCGCTGGGCAGATATTCTGGAAGCTTCCGGTGCAAAATACGTTGTCTTGACTTCAAAACATCATGAAGGTAAATGGGATACATATATAAGACCTGGTAATAGTTGCAGTGAATGGTTCATTTATTTGAGCTGAACAGAAAACTGGGGAACTCTCCTATCTAGCTGGATAAATGTTCCTGGCAAGGATCATAGGAGGCCCAAATCTCACATAAATAGGCATGGTCATAGAGGCTGCCTATACATGTGCTCGGAAGTGGAGATGCTGTTTTAATTAGAGGAGTTCCTGGACAGCTGCTCTAATTAAAACAGATCACTGTCACGTGTATTAAGCCCCCTTGCATTTCAAAATGGCAGTGGGTGAAGCAATGCTGGAGCATTTTAATTAGAATGCAAATGAGACTCAATTAATTAGAGTCTGCTCCAATGTGTTCCCATTAGAATGCGAACAAGCACGTCTGTTTAACAGCCAGAGACTGGATAAAAGGAGAAGTTGGCTGTCACATTCTTCCTCGTGCTACAAGAAGCTGAATGGTTGCAGTGGCTGAAGCTGAGGGTACTACAAAGCTTCCTACAGCTGCTCCACAAGCTATTTCTTTCTGAGTTTTGCATCATTTGGCACAATAATTTTTTTTGTTTGGGCTACAGGAGTAAATTGTGGGATGTTTTATAGATAATATTACTGTGTGTAAAGGATTTATTAGCTCTGTACATTTTTATCTGTGTATAGAATCATAGAAAAGTAGGGCTGGAAAGGGACCTTTGGAGTTCATCTAGGCCAACCCCACACCAGAAGCAGGATCATCCCTATCCAAATCATCCTATGCAAATCCATTGTCTAATCTATTAGTAAAACTAAACAGTCAACCCTGACACAACCACAAGGCATAAAGCCCTAACCTGCCATAGGTAAAGCAGGGGGATGACAGTGGCCTGTGTCCTGTAATACATGCACTGTATGTTGTTGGGAGTTGATTACAAATTTTAAAAAGTGTACAACTATCAATGTTAGTATCTTAATCTCTGTCTACCATCTAAGTGGAGAAAGTAGACGAAGCAGAATTACTCTTGCTATTTTATAGTTGGGGAACTGAGACAGATTTACAAGAGTTGCCCAAGGTCATGCAGGAACTCCGCAGAAAATGACAAGACCATATTTCCTCTTACTGTGACCTTTTGGTGAATTGTATTAAGGTGCTACTTGTCTGCCATTCAACCAGCTGCATGAACATGAACAAATCTTTATGCTCAAAGGCCTCTTATCTCAGGATATCTGAACATTTCACAAACCTAATTGTTTTACAGCATCATGGCAAACATTCTCACAGACGGGGGTAAAATTACATACAGGGTGTTAGATGAACAAGTACTGGAACTCTAAACAACTTGGTAGGTTTGTGCCTGTTCCAAGTAGAAGGAAAATATTGTAATGATATGACAGAGCACTGGGCTATTGTGCCTCAATGTAGAGACTATTCTAGGAGTAAAGGCACAGGACTCATGAGCACTATTCATGCTCTGACCAGGCAAAATTCTGACCCATGAAAGTTTATGTCAAAACTCCCATTGACTTAGATGGAAGCAAGCTGTTATGCAGGTTCTTTGGCTTTGAGGGGTGAACTTTAACCTTTTTGCCTCAGTAAACTGGGGATAATAATATTTACGTAATTCATAAAGGTGTAAGATTTCTTAGCTAATATTTGTAAAACATTCTGAAATTCAAAGGTAGCTACACTGACTATGGTCTGTTCTGCTTGCAGTACTTTATAATTGTTCCTTGTTAATCTCTCGCTTGGTGTGTTTAGGTTTTACTTTGTGGGGATCCAAATATTCTTGGAACTGGAATGCTGTAGATGTTGGACCTAAACGGGACATCGTGGCTGAGCTAGCAGCATCTATTAGAAACAGGACAGACTTGCGCTTTGGGCTATATCACTCTCTGTTTGAATGGTTCAATCCCCTTTTCCTGGATGATGCCTCCAATATGTTCAAGACGAGAACATTTCCAACTTCTAAGTCATTGCCTGAGCTCTATGAGATTGTTAATAAATACCAACCAGAAATCCTTTGGTCAGATGGGGATGGTAATGCACCAGATACTTACTGGAACAGCACTGGTTTCCTAGCCTGGTTGTACAATGACAGGTATATAATGAACCACCTTTTTAACCATATATTTAACCCCTGCAATTGAGACTCTGACCAATCTTTAGCTTCTTTCTCTTTCAGTATATATTATTTCAGTTGATGAGAATATAACTCTACTGGCTTCCACTTAATTTCCCAGCATGTAGGAATCAAATTATTAGACCTGGATGAAAAGTTATGAAAATGATGCGCCTTCTCCCCCAATCCCCCACCCTCTGATAAAAAAATGTATAGGCTTACAAGCTATTCCATTAAGATGGTATAGTCATTCTCTCTCTTGCTTGCTCTCTCCATCAACCATTGTCCTGGAAATTAAAATAATCTACAATACTGGTGAAGAGGGTGGTTGGAAGTTTTAGGAATATAGTCAGGAACTGCTCTTCACAGATTGGGCCTCTGACCCTGCACATAAAACAAAATCTATGTTCAGGCAAATCTCCCATGAGCATCAACAGGAGACTTGTCTTGGGTATGAAGGGCAGGTTTGGGTCTTTAGCACTGATATCAAGATTGCTCTTGGTTCAGGTCTCTTGCCCATTTCCATTATGTACTGAAGAAATTTAGGAAGTGTTCTACCTCTGAGTTTCTGGAGGGAAAAAGATTAAAGAGGTGTTTTATTTTTTATTAAAAATTGTAAATGCTTATTCAGAACTTCTCTAATTTCAGCCCAGTTCGGGATACAGTGGTAACAAATGATCGCTGGGGAGCTGGCAGCATTTGTAAGCATGGTGGATACTACACCTGTAGTGACCGCTACAACCCAGGACACCTTCTGCCTCACAAATGGGAGAACTGTATGACCATAGACAAGTGGTCATGGGGTTACAGGAGGAATGCGCAGCTACGTGATTACTTAACAATTGAAGAATTGGTGAAGGTACAGTAAGCCAAAGAGATGTACACACTATTTGCTCCTCATTTCTGATTTATTTTAGTTCAGTGTCATGGTAAAACTTGAATTGCTGTGTAACCTCATTGGCTGCATCCAGATGAACATGGCTGTGTGGTATGTGGTGCCACAAACATGTCTATGGCACCACATACCGCACATTCAGATGTTCTCTGGGCTGCAATGGAGCGCTGCCTGTGTGCGTGCTGCTTCATGGTTTGTTTTTTTTCTGGGTTTTTTTTTTTTTGTTTTGGCGGGTTTTTTTTTTTTTTTTTTTTTTTTTTACTCCTGGGTAAAAAATTTTTTACTTCCTGGGAGGAAAAAAATGCAGAGCAGCGCATGTGTGGGCAGCGTGCGTCGCTCAAAAACAGAGCTGGGCCACCTGGAGCTGTGCTGCGGCTGCTGGCTAGGCTCTGTATGGCAGAATTGCTGCTGCTGCAGCCCCAGGAGGCCCTCAGGACCCCAGGTAAGGCTGCTGGGGCCAGCCTGCTGCTGAGGCCAGCCCAGTGCTAGCCCCAGTCTCACCTACCCCACCTAGGGTAACTTGCCATGTGCCAAAGCGAACATGGTACATGTGTTCCCCAGGGAACACAAGTAGCGGTGGTGCATGGTGTGCTGGCACAACCTGGCTCCGGGGAATCAAATATCCATGCTCGTGTGGACACGGCCATTATGGTCATTTTCTCTTAATGCATTATCAAATTCAGTTCAGTACTGGTTCTGTTTTAAACATACATATCGTTTGATTTGATTTTTCTCTTTCTTACACCAGTTTTACAGTAGCGTAACTCAGTTGAATCGCTTTGAATTATTCTACATTTACACATGTGTAACAGGGATGAAAATTAGGTCATAAATTCCTCTGTCTTTTTTTTTTTATAAATGCTAAAGGCAAGCTTTACCTCCTCTTTCCATCCTTAAGGCTCTATCTATATTCTTTACTCATGGAGGTAAATTTGTAAGGTAGTAGAGATTATAATAGGTATGACATGTTTTATTTCGTGTTGTCCTGAGTATTTTATGTAAATTGCATACTAAGCATTTTCAGTATTTAAGTGCAAAAAAGATATCCTTGTTTCTGCACCTGTTCTGTATCTTCTAGAACAGGGGTTCCCAGCTGTAGCATGCATACCCCTGTGGGTATGCAAGACACCTTTGGGGGTTATGTGGGAGAAATTGTGTAGTGGCAGATTAAATTTTCATTATAATAATAATTGGCATTTAAGGGGCTACAATATAAAATGCATGCTAGTAGGGGGTACCCAGGCAGCTGGTAAATCTGGAAGGGGGGTACGCAATAAGTAAAAGTTTGGGAGCCTCTGTTCTAGAATATTCCATCTGCTACTATTGGGCTTTTGTACATGCCACAAAATTGGCCT